TTTTTTTTTTTTTTTTTTTTTTTTTTTTTTTTTTTTTTTTTTTTTTTTTTTTTTTTTTTTTTTTTTTTTTTTTTTTTTTTGCTAGTTTGGCTCAAGTTTGTTTTTTTCAACCTTTGTCAGGTTGTCTTCTTTTTGTGTGATCGACATTGTCTACTTTGAGCATAAGCTCTCATGGCTATGCTTTTGGTTTCCCCAAAAGACCTCGTACCAACGGAAATATATTCCTTACTTGTAAACTCATAATCAACCCCTTAATTAGCCGACGTGGGACTCCTCTCCTAACAATCCTCAACAATTCTCCCCTCGAACAAAGTACACCATAGAGCCTCCCTTAAGACCTATGGAGCCCTTGAACAGCCTCCCCTTAATCGAGGCTCAACTCCTCTGGAGCCCTCAAACAAAGTACACCTTTTGTTAGACACTTGAGTCACTTTTGACTACACACCTTCGAGGCTCACAACTTCTTCGTTCGATATTTGAGAATTCTATTGACAGAGCTAAGTTAAGGGCATGACTCTGATACCATGTTAGGAACCACAGCCCTCTACAATAGTATGATATTATCCACTTTGAGCATAAGTTCTCATGACTTTGCTTTTGGTTTTCTCAAAATGTCTCATACCAATGGAGATAGTGTTCCTTACTTAAACTCATGGTCTTTCCCTTAATTAGCAAATGTGGGACTACTCTCCCAACAATCCTCTTTAACACCTCCTCAACATGCATATTCTTTAATTGAGATTCTCAACAAAAGTTCAATTTCCCATGTGTGTACACGTGTATTAAAATAATCAATAAGTTCACATTTTAACTTTACGATGATTTGTGAGTGGAGGTTTTCTTTAATTTAATTGTTGAAGGATACAGATTTAATCACCCATACCAATCAAGATTGTTGAATCCCATATTCACTACTAAAGTCGAACAGAAAATTAGTCCCGATTCACCAAGCTCTACTAAAGAAACGAAGAACTCTGCTTTAACCCTCCAAATAGATTTAGCCATTAAAAGGAAAAAATTAGGGAAAAAAACACTTATCCAAAGTAACTTACCACAGAAGGCTGCCCCTTGAAGAGTCTTAGCATTGTCGGTGGAGGTGAGCTTTTGGGAATAGCTACTGTTACATCATAAATTGCTGGAACAAATGAGCGCATATGACCTACAGCTGACACAAAACCCTGAAAGCAGCAGAATAACAAGTTATGATAATTCATAGGCAACTAAAAATATAGATCAATACATGCTAGGTGAATAAATGTAAGTACGATCGAATGTTTTCTAATTACAACACACACAAAAATGTGCAATCAAATAAAACTTGCACCAACTTTGCATTGATTAGGATCAAAGTAATGAGAACAGAATAGCACCAAATAGGAAAAACTCTAATCTCCAAGACAAACAAAAACACCCTTTAAGGATAAGATAGTTACGTCTATCATTTCCCTACCAAATAAAGGACAATAGAAACCAAGAAAAAGAAATGATGTGCTGCCAAAGGAGGGAGAATAGAAGCCAGTCAATTATTCCTCATAGAAGAAAGGTGATATAATCGAGAAAACATAGAGCATATGGGTCAATTCCCAACCATTTGTCTTCCAAAAAAAAAATAAGTGTCTGCCTGTAACAACTCAAGCCCACTGCTAGCAGATATTGTCCTTTTGGGCTTTCCTTATGAGCTTCCCCTCAAGTTTTAAAACACGTCTGCTAGGGAGAGGTTTCCACACCCTTATAAAGAATTCTTAGTTCCCCTCTTCAACTAATGTGGGGTCTCACAATCCACCCCCCTTCAGGACACAACGTCCTTGCTGGCACACTGTTTGGTGTCCACTCGCCTTCAGGGCTCAGTGTCCTCGCTGACACATCGCCGAGTGTCTGCCTCTGATACAATTTATAACAGCTCAAGCTCACCGCTAGTAGATATTGTCCTCTTTGGGCTTTTCCTTCCAAACTTTCCTTCAAGGTTTTAAAATGTGTCTACTAGGGAGAGGTTTCCACACTTTTATAAAAAATGCTTAGTTCCCCTCTCCAACCGATGTGGGATCTCACACTGCCTATCACCCACCATACATGGAATAAACTGACAGAAAAAAGGGAAACCCACAGAAATAACTTTCCAAGAATTTCTGTGTGTGCCTTTCAAAACCCCTCTCAAGGTCCACTCATAAGAACGGGAAGGTACTTGCTTATCATGACCTTAAGCTGTATGGAGGAGAAGGGGAAATGTCACAGCCATTTAGCTAACAAGGCTCTCATGTTGATCCTTCCTTCTAATCAAAGTCTACTTGCATGGCATGCCATGAGGTGTCTCCTTCCCACTTTTTGAGCATATTCCATCCCCTTATATAAAAGAAATTTTCAAGCACAACTTAAAAGCCTTGGGGAAAAAAAACAAAAAGTAGAAGTTAAATCATGCAATTCATAGCATGAACCAAACAAAACGAAACACAGAAGGAGAAGGGGGAAATTACAGAAAATAACTGAGTGGATTTTTTTGTATCTTCTGTTTATTACTGTATTTCCTTTGCAGAGGTCTAGGAGTTCAAAGAAGGCGCAATAAACAATTAAAAAATCACCTAAACATGATCAGAATGAAAAAATCGCGAAAAAGTTGTTTCCAATGAACTGACCTTTGTACGTGGAATCAAAACATTCCTAGGAACAGGTAATCCATTTGCATTGGCATACTCTTTAGCTGCCAAAAGTTTTGCCTCAGTAAATCGAGTCCCTTCTACAAAAAGTGCCAACCAAAAAGGCAAAGGGAAGTCCTTCAACCGTAAAAGACCTGACTGTAGACGCAATAACATGAGACTCAAATGAAACCAACATGTGACGTACAGATAGAATCACATGGTAAAATTGAAAAGACTAACGAGCAGTGAAAAAATCTAATATTAAGTACGGCATGAATGTCTTACCTTTAAAGTAATTTCATCCTTGGCCCAGCTTCTTTCAAGAAAAAGATACTCGGAAAACCACATTGACCAACCTATAACCTACCAGAATAGAACTCTAAATGGTAAGTTCTTCCCTAACAACTTGGATGACTTTTGTCAGCTCATAGGGTTGAAGTTAAGTACTAGGAGAAATTTAGCATTAGCAACATGTCTACAAGTAATCCAAAAAAAAAAACTTTAAAATTTGTAATGAAAATAACAAGCTCATGAATGCTAAAAATACTTCAGAAAAATGAACATACTGGCAGCAATTTTGATGACTTCTTCATTACAGCTAACGTGCTGCCAAGACATCCAGATCTCTACCACATGAAATTCAAGATTATTAATAAGGAGAAAGTATAAGACAAACAAACAAAATGGCATTAAACACACTGATTTTATGCTCTGATAGAAACACATAACATGCAATATATTTAGATACCAGCAAATGTAAAAATATGCACCCATAAATATGAGTGATACATATTGAAGTTGAATTATCCTTGATTAAGAAAGAAAAGGAAATAGGCACCTGAGCCAGAATCCATCCAACAAGCCAATCAATATCACTTCTGTGATTAGAGACAACAAGTGCATGTTCTTTACCTGGAAAAGTTCATAACTAAGTTGTGATTTGAGCCATTTTGCAGATATTTCAAAAGATAAATAAATTTGTAGTCAATACTCTTACCCATCAGTTTAAGGGTCTCACAATCTGTGTACACTTTAATCTGCATTCAAAATAGTTCAACAAATTGAGCTTTCAATAATCCAATCCAAGAACCAAAATTGATCATGTTGTGGCATCAAAATATAGTAAGCCATGAAAAGATAAGATAAAGTAATTAATCATTAAAAATCAAAAGGGAGAGAAAAACAAGCAGCAACAATATCACTATGATGCACCTTAACACCTGCCCACCAATCAACTATCCAAACAAGCTCCAACCACAACAACTCTGCCACCAATCTATTAATCCTTCTGTACCCATTCTTTGTTATCGGCCTTATAAGGATAAAGCATATTGCCTGAAAACAAGGTAACAAAAATTTGAGAGCCGGTCACATCGTTCAGTGTGTATATATAAGAATAACCAGCAAAAGCTTTCAAAGAAGGTGGAGTGAAAAAACAGACCCTAGCATAGCACAACAGTACAACCACAACGACAGCTTAGATGATAAACCATGGTGGTTTAACTCACAGGCGACTCAATGGTAACAAGCAACGCATACTATTAACCCAAAACACCTCGTGAGTTAAAAATACTTTTTTAAAAAAAAAAATCGAATGATGAAAACAGGAAGGGAGGAAAACAAAATCTTAGCTAAATTTACAAGTTACCCTTGTGCCACCAGAAAATTAATCCAAATAAGAGAGCAACAAACATGCATTTAGACGAGAATCATACCAATAAATTGGCTCAAGGCCTGAAGCAACTAAACCCAACAACTAAAATCTCCGCAACTAACTTTAACCACACACCAAAATACAAAAAAGAACATAACCCAACAGTAAACGAACTGAATCTCGATGAACGAAATCGAGAAAGAAAGAAAGAAGAACACACGTGGATCAAACTAGTGCAAAACACCTGAATGAGATTGACGACGAGGCCAGAGACAAAGAAGAGGACGCCCAATGGCAAGATCACCAGGGCCGCTGGAATCACCATAGGCACAAGCAGGTAGTCTCCACGGCGAATTCAGACGCTTGCAGAAATGAGAGGAAAAGAAGGCAGAGAAATTGGAAGGGTAATCTATACTATATATAAATGGTACAATTTATAATGCATTTTTAGTTTGTTGAAATGGAATTAATATGGTAATAAAACGTCGTGTGCTTGGAAGTGAAAATGCCCATTTGACGATCAACCAGGCTCATAGAAGACAAATTGTAACCCCCATTACTGAGACCATAATGGAGAATAAGCAATTTAGATGTAAGAGCCTCTTTACGTCATTCATTTCCTAATTCGTAGGCCCCTTCTCTTCGAAGGTTCATGTTCATGCGAAAAGGGGAAACCTGAGTGAAAGACGAATTGAGCTGTGGAATTAGAAGAGAATTCGATCACTGTTTCCCAATCAGACAGCCAGACACAAACCACGTCCCAATCTTCCAGGAGGGTGTTCCTTTTTCATTATAATTCCGCTATTCTTAGAAAACAATGCGAAGCCGCTAGGAGAGAGGCTGCGGCGCCACTAACGGAACAAAAACGACGGTGACGGCAGCATTAAACGGGGGAGAGCCGGCGACACCGACCTGCAACAGAATAGGAGAGGGGGTGTAGAGGTAGTGGCGTGGAGTAATTAGGGTTATCCACTTCTTTTTATTCCTTTTTATTTTATCTTACAATGGATTCTCTATAAACAACAACTAATTAACATTTAATATATTTAATTTTTTAATATAAGATTTGCATGTTGAATTTTATACTAATAGATGTTGTTATTAGCACTTCCGTCAATATGTAATTTAGATTTAATAAAATTACAATGATATAATGTTAACTATTAAACACAAAATTTTATTAATATTTTATGGCTATAGATTTTATTAATATAATAAGTGTATAATTTTTATATTGTTTGGGTATAAATATTTTTTTATGGCTATAGATTTTATTTTAATATAATTAAAAATATATTTAAAAAAAAAATCAAATAATGGGATTTTCAAACCCATCCTTTGTTTCTGTTATTTTTTACTTTTTTTAATTCTATTATTCTTTTTTTTTTCTCTTTTGTATTATTCTTCCATTTATTTTTGTTGGTTTTCTTTCATTTTTAATTCATTTTCAATTTTTTGTTGTTTGTTTAATTTATTATTTTTTTATAACTCATTTAACTCATTTTCTTGGTTTAAATGGTTTATAGAAGAGTTGGAAAAGGGAAATAAATCAATTATTTTTAATTTTTAAAACATGATATTTATAATTAATTTTTCAATTTGATTATCATATACTCATTTATAATTTTATTAAAATCATTTATTTGGGAATAACTCTTAACAATAAATAAACTCAAAAATCTAAAATTTAAAGTCTATTATTTATAATATACATACTAATAAACAAAAATTAAATTAAAGAAAATTTATACACGTTTATAATATACCTATCTCATTTAATATGGTTTACTCCACCACGTGCCAACATTTGATTACAAAATATAAATTGTACTAAATATAATGATTAAGATTTATTACCTAATAAACTTTATAAAAAAAACATAAAGCTTAAGGTACTGAATAAAAATTAAATTAATTAAAATGATTTTAATAATTTAGCTTAATAAAAATAAAATGGTTAATAATATAATAAAATTATTTAAAATATTTTATTTATACGAAATTCTTATAACATTTTTCATCTAAATCAAATGGATATTTTATTTCCAAACATTTTTTTTTTAATATCAAAAACAAAACTTTCGAAAATATTATCTCCATTCAAATGAGGACTCTTGTGAGAAGTTCCAAAAGGATGAGAAAAAAGTGGATAATATCATACAATTGTGGAGAATCGTGTTCGTCTAACATGATATTAGAGTCATGCCCTAAACTTAGTCATGTCAATAGAATCCTCAAATGTCAAACAAAAGTATTGTGAGCCTCAAAAGCATAGTAAAAAATGACTAAGACTCCAAAAGAAAAAAAGTCAAGCCTCGATTAAGGGGAGACGTACTTTGTTCTATGGAAGGTGTTGGATAAAAGTCCCACATCGACTAATTTAAGGAATGATCGTGAGTTTATAACTAAAAGAATACTATCTCCATTGGAACTAGAGTTTTTGGGAAGCTCAAAGCAAGGTCATTAGACTTTGTGTTCAAAGTGGACAATATCATACTAATGTGGAGATTCGTGGAGAATCCTGTTATTATTCAAGGTAAAACTTCATTAAAAAAAAAAAAAAAAAAAAATCTAACCTCCAATCCATTGAAACAGAGATTTAAGATAAAAACCAAAACTCTTTACAGGAACAATGATTTCTTTCCTTGAAGGCAAGTGAAATTAGTCAACTCATCATGAACAACAATGTCAATATAACTACCTTCCATCTTCCCTTCAAACCATTCTTCATGGACATGGCTTCTCCATTTTCACCTCCCTTCTTCCTCCTCCTCCTCCTCCTAGTTCAACTATTTTTTCCAAGTTTCATCCATTGTTCATACATATCTGCCATCGGAGACCCCGGAATGAAGAACCCAAATGTCCGAGTGGCATTGGAGGCATGGAATTCCTGTAACGAAGTTGGTGCCGAAGCTCCTACCATGGGCAGCCCCAGATTGGCCGATTGCGCTGATTTGCAGCCCTCATCAGCTCCCACCATGGTTGCCCACAAAGTAAACGAATCAATTAACAAACTCAAAGCCGGTGAAAAATTCCCATCGGAGCGATTCAAGCCATACAAAGACCCAAATTTATACGCCGTGGAGAAGGAGCGCTATCTGGGTTCATTATGCGAGGTCGATGGCTCTTCAAATCCATGGAGTTTCTGGATGATTATGCTGAAAAATGGGAATTTGGACAAGAACTCTACGCTTTGTCCTGAGAATGGTAAGAAGGTTAGTGAAATTAAAACAGATTTGAAGTTCCCCTGTTTCGGTGAAGGGTGTATGAACCCACCTCTTGTTTACCATAACTATTCGAGATTGGTGTCTTTGGAGGAAGGGATGGTGTCTTTAAGTGGTGGGTTCTATGGAACTTATGAAGTTGATGCTGATTTGAGTAATGGTATAGGGAAAAATTCTTACTTTTCGGTATCTTGGCGGAAGAATGTTACAACGGGGAGTTGGGTTTTCTTGAATCGATTGACGACGTCTTCTAAGTATCCTTGGATTATGTTGTACCTTCGATCTGATGCAACCAAGGGCTTCAATGGTGGGTATCACTATGATGGTCGTGGCATTATGAGAAAGGTTCTTCTTCATCCATTCTCTCTTCACTTGTTTTTCAAATTGTAGAGATTAGATATTGAAGTGAAATTTTGAATTGTTATTATCAGTTGCCTGAGTCCCCAAATTTCAAGGTGAGGTTGACACTTGATATCAAAAGTGGTGGTGGAAAGGGCAGCCAATTCTATCTGCTAGACATAGGAAGCTGCTGGAAGAACAATGGAGATCCTTGCAATGGCGACACTACTACCGATGTAACTCGATACAGCGAAATGATTATCAACCCCAAGACCGGTGGTACGTGCAAGCCGAGCAATGTCATGGCTTGTCCGCCCTATCATGTTAGTTCTTCAGGAGAGAAGATATACAGGAATGAGACCTCAAGGTTTCCATACTCAGCTTATCATCTGTATTGCGGTCCTGGAAATGCTATGCATTTGGAGAAACCGTGTGAACTTTGTGATCCATATAGCAACCCACAGTCTCAAGAGTTGGTACAAATTCTTCCACATCCTGAATGGGCTGTTCATGGCTATCCACAGAAGCAGGGAGAGGGATGGGTTGGAGATCCTAGAACTTGGGAGCTCGACGTTGGAGCTTTGTCCAACCGCTTGTACTTCTACCAGGTAAATCTTCTTTCTTCAACGATGGGAGATTACAAGTGTAACGGTCCAATCAAGTCCACGGTTATCACAATTCACCCCATCGGGGACCGTGTTCTTGCTGACACTCATTCTTTTCTCCAATTGATGTGGGATCTCACAATTCACCCATTCAGGCCTTAGCATTCTCGCTGACACTTGTTCTCTTCTCCAATCAATGCGAGACCCCAATCCACCCCCTTCGAGGCTCAGTGTCCTTGCTTGCACACTGCCTCGTATCCACCCCATTCCAGGGTTCAGGCTCTTTGCTGGCACATCGCTCGATGTCTAACTCTGATACCATTTGTAACGGCCCAAGCTCACCACCAGCAGATATTGTCCTATTTAGGTTTTTCCCTCAAGATTTTTAAAATGTGTCTCCTTAGAGAAAAAATTTCACACATTTATAAAAAATGTTTCGCTCTCCTCTTCAACCAATGTTGTGAGATCCCACGTCGATTGAGGAGGAGAATGAAACACCCTTATAAGGGTGAGGAAATCTCTCCCTACCAGACGCATTTTAAAAATCTTAAAGGTAAGCTCGAAAGGGAAAGCCCAAAGACGAGAATATCTGCTGGTGGTGGGCTTGGATCGTTACAAATGGTATTAAAGCCAAACACCGAGCGATGTGTCAACGAGGAGGTTATTCCTCAAAGCGGGTAGACACAAGGTGATGTGCCAGTAAAGACACTGGGCGTCGAAGGAGGGTGGATTTAGTGGGGTCCCACATCGATTGGAGAATGGAACGAGTGTTAGCAAGGACGCCAGACCCTAAAGGGGTGAATTGTGAGATCTCACATTAGTTAGGGAGTAGAACGAAGCACCGTTTGTAAGGGTGTAGAATGCTCCCCTAACAAAAACATTTTAAAAACCTTGAGGGTAAGCACGGAAGAGAAAGCCGAAAAAAGACAATATCTCCGAAAAGAGGTGGAAAGCTAAATAATATAAATATAAAGTGAGTGTGTTGTTGGCGATGTAGGATCCGGGAACGAAGGCAGCTAGGCGGATATGGAGTTCTATCAATGTTGGCACGGAAGTATACTTTAGCGAAGGGGAGACAGCAGAGTGGAGCGTAAGTGACTTTGATGTTTTGGTGCCTGAAGATTAGAGGTGGTGCCCAACGATTATGGAGGCTAATCTGTCATATTTAATATATGAATTTTTTATCTTTAATATATTAAAAATTAATTAAAAATTTTCAAGTATATTTTTCTTCCTTTTTATGTTTAATATCTCTAATATATTGAATAGTACTTCCTTTTAAATATATTTCTCTTTCATATATAATATATTAAATACTTAAATTAACGGGATGATAAAAATTAATTAATTAAAATATTTAATTATTCGATTGTTTATTAATTAATTATTAATTTTATAATTTTATAAGTGGTAAAAGATACCAAATTAATTAATTAATTAATTAAACTTTTAATTAAAATATAAAATAAATTAATTAATCATTTTCATTTATAAACTATAGGTAAGTTAACTATAAATCTATAGCATATGTCGTAAATCTACAGTTATATTGTAATACAAGTTGTGTTCATTAATATAATCATTACAAGCACGGAGTGATTTGTAATCATATTTAAGTTAAAGTTTGTTTTACCCATGTAATTATAATTAACAATTACTTAAGTTTCTCTCAAGCTAATGAGAGGGTAGACTCCATTGTTAAAGTCTCGAAATCAACAGAACTACTATCTACTTACTCTTGTATTAGAAAGGGTTAACGATTCCATTTTGTGACATTATGTTT